TTAAAAATGGTTAAGATGATACATTTTTGTCTATTTAACCACAACTTTTAAGATACCACACAAAAATAAAAAATCACAGTGCTCAACTACTATAACAAGGAGAAAATTATTTCCACCCAATGCCAAGAAAAGTAAAGGGGAAAAAGTCCTGTTTGGGTTTATAAATGTTTAAGTCTCTTACTTGAGTAAAGATTAAACAAAGAGCTGTTTCTTCTGATCTTAGTATCAATTATCCATGTTAAAAACACCAAGATACTAAAACTAAACACGTACAGATTATCACCAAGACTTTAAAACTATTACTTTTTTCAAAACAGCACAACAAAGCATATTACTTGCTATTGCTTTAATTTTTGGATTCTATTTACGTTGTTGAGTGAAGAAATACAGTTAAGTCTATACAAACTATAAGTACAGAATATAAAGAGCCTATTAACTAAGTCAGAACCATGTAAAAGCAATTGAGGAAGCTTAGCTATTTTATTTTCTCCCAGAAACTGGCATGGCACCAGCTTCTCGTTCTATTTCTGTGTTCGCCTGTATCAGGCATTTCCATTAGAAACTGTTTCAATGGCTATAATATTAGTACAATCCCAGAGTGAAAAATAAATTTGCCCTAACTTAGAAAAAGTCTTCATTCTCTCTGGCAAACTCCCTACTGGAGGCCATCACTAGACACAAATCCTTGAATCAAGATATTATCAACTTGTTTAGAAGGCTTGCTCATCTCTTCTCTGTCATAGGTACCAAAAGAGAACCCATGCAGCACAAAACAGAAAATTCGCAACTTAAAAAGCCCAATTTTAGACAGATTTCTTAAGGTATTTCCAATTCCCAATTCAGTTATTTTATATTCTCAGAACCTTTAAATGTATCTTTCTTTCAATAGAACTAATTTTTAGAAAGAAAAAAACTACTTAAACGGGTATAACTCAATTCTTCATTTGAAACTTAGATAATCAAAGACTCACTAAAGAAGATATATTTAGCGGATTTTGGTATCAGCTCCACGATCTTTGCCCAGTCTACCCTCACATCTAAATTCCTGCCTATTCTACTTAGTACTCATCTACAATTGCAATTTACAGATGTTCCCATCAGAATCACTTAGGGACACACCATCAAATCATGCAAACAAACTGATATGTTTTTAGGTCTTTGGTTCCACATCTGTAAATTAAGAGTTGAATAGATGCCCCTTCCAAATGATTAGTGTTTCCTGGTCTATAAGTTCTAAAAAATAAAAAGGGAAAAATACCTTGAGGTTTTATATTTGAGAATCTCTAAAAATACATTCTTAAGCTTTCAAAGTTCTTAATTTCTCTCCTTGCTAATTCTTTGTTTTAGCCACAACTCTCATACCACTGGAGATGTGGTCTAAACCAGTTTTCACCCTCTGCAAGGGGAAAAATACCCACTTGGGTTACCTCCATAACCAAGAATAAGCACCTCTGTCATTTCGAAGTGAAATGTAAAAGAGGCTACAACTACCCAATTATAATCTACCTCCATCTGCAGTAAATTCTGGACAAATTCATCTAAGAAATCCCCATTTGAATAAAACATTGTTTAATATGCAGCTATTAGATTCATATTCAGAATATGTATTTAAGATTAGAAATTCTTTTTTTTTTTTTTTTTAGTTGGAGTCTCACTCTGTCACCCAGGCTGGAGTGCAGTGGCAGGCTCACAGCCACCACAGCCTCAACCTGCTGGGCTCAGGCAATCCTTCCACCTCAGCCTTCCAAGTAGCTGGAACTACAGGTGGGCGCTACCACACCCGACTAATTTTCTGATGTATTGTAGACATGAGGTCTCGCCAAGTTTCCCAGGCTGATCTCGAACCCTTGAGCTCAGGCAATCCTCTTACCTCCGTCCCCCAAAGTGCAGATTAGAAATTCTTTAACACTTGTTTCTCTACTGAAATTTCAGATGAAATATGCTGGACTGTCAGTTTAAAATGGAGTGATCATTTGGTATGATAATTAGATCATGTTACACTTCAACCTTCTCCTTAAAGGTGTGTTCTACAAAACTGAATGTTATTTGTACATTCAACAATCATGATTTTCCTTCTTTTTTCCTTTTGGCTTCTAAAACAAACCAAATTTGGTTTATGCCACAAAGCATTTACCAAAGCACCTGACTATACGTATAAGCAATACCCACTTCCAAAACCACTATGTTAAGATAAAACTCACCCAGATCATTATACAATGGCTTGGAATTACATATTTTAGGTGACTTTTATTCAGATCTCTTTAAATTGAGGTTTCAAACTTTCAAAATTACCTGAATAAACAAGCTTATTAATCTGAAACAAATACTTGTAAAATCTTTTAGGATACTTCCTTATAACCTCTCAATCACACTGTGAACTTATTTCAACCTGTTAGAATGAAATAATGTCTTTAAACAGTATATCTGTTTCTGTTTGCAGGAAAGAATATGTTCTGTTCAAGTGAAACATATTTTAAAGATTGTGTGTTTATTATAATCAAAAAGCATTGAGTTCCCCAGAAGAAATTTTACTTGCTTTTCTGGAAACTGGTAATTAGTCAAAGTCCATAACTTTAAGAAAACTGACACTACTACTGATTTGCAATTTCCATTAGTCTTTTCATTAATTCCATAGTAACTAAGACATTTCAAATTGGATTATTGTAGAAATCCACAAAAGTTGCTGTTTTAAATTTCTAAAGCTATCAAGTTGAAATCAATCATATTTGAAAGTTAAGTTAGATACAGAAAGTATGAAAGCAATTCTAAAAATTTTGTGATAAACTTGCTTCCACAACCAATCTAATATATTTTTCACTAACAATACAAGGCTAAAAATGGAAAATAAGAAATCAAATCTTAGGAACAGATGGACCATGTAGAAAAATAGTAAGCTCACTTACTAGCCCCAAAAGCAGTGACATGAGGCAGAAGACTAAACAGAGACCAGTTGTAATTACCCAATGTTCAAAAACAAAAACAAAACAAAAAATGAAGCATGTGATGAAATATTAAGGTTAGAAATAAAAAGCTAAAACCCACATATCTATGAGAAATTGGCAGGAAGGATGTATAAAATCTGGAAGAATATCAGACCTCTATACTACAAAACTTAATTTTAAGAATATATTAGTTCATCTCTTATTATATGAAGTTTACCTAGTCTCAGGCAATATAGTCTCTGACGGCAAATAGCAAAATAAAAGTTTGACTTTTCACCTCCTCTAAACACTATTACAAAGAATAATTTTCTACCATCTTGAAATTTTCAAAGCTTTTTGAGAAACACACACAAATAATTTGGATTTAGTTGATTTTATTTACAGCTTTTTTGTTGTTTTTTACATTTCATAGCATTATACAATTACATTTTCTCATTTTCTGACCTGCAAACAGATACCTTAAATGGAAATTATTTTTTTTAATTATCAAATTAGATACATCCAAACGCAACCATTACACATATGACAATTAATTCACAAAGTGTAATTTACTGGGACGTATCCTAAGAATTTAGGAACAGTCAGTCAGGAGAAATCTGACCAAATTTAGCAATCAACTATTTACATATCCAAAGTCAAACTATCTAAACTCTCAAGCCAAAAGCTTGAAAGTATTTATTAAATCCCCACTGGACAAAAGAAAATGATGATTCAAACCTATCCTGTCTTAACAGTTTTAATCCCCAATACCAGGTTGTTTCCCCAGTCTGTAACTGAATGGCAAGCATCTGTTTGTCAAACACCTAAGCATCAAACTTTTACATCATTATGCACATTGAAAGGTTAAGTGTTCCCTAATTTAAAAAAAAGTAGTCATTATATATCCATACTATCCCCCAGCTCACCAGCCCTTACTGCAATCCCAAATATGCACCCTATGTCACATAGTGACAGGCTATTTCCACGTGTGTGTGTGTGTGTGTGTGTGTGTGTGTGTGTGTTTACACACACACATACAGACAGTACTAGGTACAAATGGCAATTAACAGTCCCTATAAAAATTCAATTTCTGTTGAGGCTATGGCTCCTATGCCTTGGGATGGTTTTAGACTTCAAATCTGAAAAATACTGCTAAAATCTCACTTTCTAAAGACAAAATTTGATTGCATGTTTAGTTTTAAGCTTCTCAGTCTAAAAATGGCTTTAAGGTAAGTATTTTTAAAAAGTCAGCCGAGCGCAACTTCTCCCTCCAATTTGGCCAAGCTATTTTGTAAAAATTGTTCCTGACTAGAAAATCTGTGGTGACTTCCCATGGTCTTGCCTACCTTACTGTCCATGTTCACGTTTCAAACTGTGTCAACAGAGCCCGCACTTCAGGGGTCAGCTGCTTGGCAGCCTGCGCTGCCTCTGTGATAGCCTTGCGATACAGGCCCTTTCTCTTCTTATTAAAGCGTGACTGGAAGTTTTCTAAAAAGGGGGAGAGTTGCGAAAGAGCAAGGAAAGATGTTGTTGGAGACCCAAACCACGAAATACAGGCCTCCTGTCGGACTAAAAGGCCATTATCTTTCCGGCTCACAGTTATAGTAAGAATACGGGCTGGCCACCAAGGGAACCCATATATCTTGGCCCAAACAATGTCCCCTACACATATGGTCCTGCCATCTGGTGTGACACATTTAGAGACGTTTTTGGAAAAGACTTTCATTTTCAAGGAATTACTGAGTTTTTTCTCTTCCTTTGAAGAGGAGGAAGTGGTGGAGGTGGAAGGTGCATGCATACTGCCTGGAGGAAAATCAAAACTTTCAGAAGAGCTACACTCAGAGTTGGAAGACTTCAAATCATCTGTGCTATCAATACTACACACTGAAGCACTGGAAGAGTCAGATTTCTTTTGAGTTAGGGTCATGTAAACAGAGATATTGCTTTTGCTGCCCTTTTTGCACAACGTCTGTGGTTCATCCTGCTCACCAGGCACATGCCCTTCATTTGTGTCCTGAACCTCACTGCTGGCCTCTTCAGGGCCTTTTGAGGGACCCTGATTTTCTGAAGGGGCCTCACCTGCTGAGCGGGTAGAGGTGCAGCGAGACTGGGGCTTGGGTGCCATCTTGCCACTCCGCATTTTCTCAAGTCCTGTCTTCAGAGAAGAATCGTTTTCCTCATTCCTGTACCTCTGTGGTTTTAAACGAACCCGGGGTGGAAGGGAACCTGAGCTAGGATTCTGATATCGACGAGTGAAATGAACTTTCGAATGTGCATTTTTGGAAGTAGAGGTTTCACTTTGCTTCCTTTGTGCCTTTTCTTTGGCAATTTTTAACACTTCCCGAGCTTTTGCATGATCCATGTTCTTACTCTGGAGCACTTTTTTTGTACTTAACTGAGCTTTTGATGTATTTGCCTGAGCAGAAACCTTTACTACTCTGCCTCTGCTGTGAGCAATGTTGGAAACCTTAACTACAGCATTTCTTTTCTGGCTTTCATTTTGGTTTTTTCCATCCACTTTATGGTCAGTTTTCAGTTTTTTGTTCACAGTAGTTACATTTTCATTTCTCCGTTTTTTATCTTCATATTTAGAAGAGTCACTTGTACTACTACCTTTTCTAATTTCCTTTTTTTCAGCAACAACACTGTTTTTACATTTGTCACACAGGACTTGCCTGGGTCGCAGTTTAATAGCATTCATTATTGAAGTGGGTTCTTCCCTGTACATTTTTCGTTTGGGTCGCTTAATTTTCCGAGGAGGTGGCTGAGGTATTGATTGGTTATATGTGTCCCTGATAAACAAAGGCGGGGGATAAGGTGCTCCTTCATGGAAGAGAGGTGGTGGTTTAGAAGTCCACAGGCTTTCAGCCAAGCTCAGCTCAGAAGGCGGGACAGGAGAAGTGTCATCGGGAACAGCACCATTCACTTCACACTTGACTTCTATCCCTTCTTGGAATGTATTACTTTGGAGCTGCATGACTTCTGGCTTATCTTTATATTCCCTTCTGGGAAATACTGTCACAGGGATACCATGGGGCCCAAACCTTTGAAAGAAATGAAAAAAAGACATTAAGTTAATGTCTATAATTTCTTAAATGTAAACAATACCTAACGCTTACGCTTACTTATATGACCTTTTCTAAAAACTGTTTTGTGGTTTTACACACACACACACACACACACACACACACACACACACACACTCTCACACACATCTACCCATCACCTCCTCCCCCCAAAATTCCAAAGACCTCCATTTCTTTGGGTCCTATCTTTCAATAAAAACAAACATTTGCCCTACACAATGCCAGAATAGCAGTCATGACATAAAATGGATCATTCCAGTCTTGAATCAGAAAAAATGTTCTCAGAAAGCTTAACAGTAAACATCATGTGTATTACAATGAACTATATACGTTTTCAGTAAAGCAACTATATGTGTGTGTGTACCTCTGATTTTAATAATTTCAAATACTTCACAGAGCAAATTCAGCTTCCACTAACTCAAAAGCAATGAATCAGTAAAACTCCATCTAACTTTACTGCTTAATTGCTAAGATTCAAGGAAAGTTGCCCCTTTATTCTTGCATCCCAACTCTCTAGTCCTCAATTTCTGGCTCCCAAAAAACATAAAAATGTCAGGAACCCAAGATAGTCAAATTATCTCCAAAGCAAATAGGCCTACAGCTGTGGCTTTCAAATTTTTGAAATCATATCTCACATTAAGACATATCTTGGGGCTGGGCACGATGGCCCAAGCCTAATCCCAGTACTTTGGAAGCCCACGGGCTCGAAATCAGCATGGGGAACTTCATCAGACCTCATCTCTACAATAAATCAAAAAATTAGCCGGGTGTGGTGGCACACGCCTGTAGTTCAAGCTACTTAGAAGGCTGAGGTAGAAGGATCGCTTGAGCCTAGCAGGTCGAGGTTGAGGTGGCTGTGAGCATACCACTGCAATCCAGCCTGGGCAGCAGATTAAGCCTCTGACTCAAAAAAAAAGAAAAGAAAAGAAAAGGAAAAGAAAAAAGAAATGTCTTCACATTGGAACCAAGAAACATTTATGTATACTGCATATATGTATTTATACATATACACGTAAATATACAAACTTAAGCCAAAGTTTCACTAAATATTTCACTCTATATTATGGGATACATAATGATTTTTTTTCCTGCTCTGATCTACTTCACTTTTTTGTCTGTGTGTTTGAGTTGAGGTCTCACTCTGTTGCCCAGGCTGGAATGCAAGGCACAATTATGGTGGACTGCAGCCTCCACCTCCTGGGCTTAAGCAGTCCTTACATCTCAGCCTCCTAAGTAGATGGGACTACAGGCTCATGCCACTGCCAGTTTTTTTATTTATCTTTTTGTACAGACCAGGTCTCACTATGTTGCCCAGGCTGGAGTGCAATGGCTCCCTTATGGCCATTGTAGCCTCGACCTGCTGGGCTCAGGCAATCCTTCTGCCTCAGCCTTCCAAGTAGCTGGAACTACAGGCACGTGCCACCACACCCGGCTAATTTTTTATTTATTGTAGAGACGAGGTCTCGCCAAGTTGCCCAGGCTGGTCTCGAACCCCTGAGCTCAGGCAATCCTCTCGCCTCCGTCTCCCAAAGTGCTGGGGATTACAGGTTGAGCCACCAGGTCCAGCTTACATTTTTTTTTTTTTTGAGACAGAGTCTCACTGTCACCCAGGGCTAGAGTACAGTGGTACCATCATAGCTCACTGCAGCTGTGAACTCCTGGGCTCAAGTGACCGTGTAACCAGTCTCCCAAATAGCTGGGACTAAAGGCACACACCACTGTGCCCAGCTAATTTTTTTTATTGAAAATTTTGTAGAGACAGGGTAAATCTAACTATGTTGCCTAGGTTGGTCCAGGCATCCTGGCCTTAAGCAATCCTCCCACCTTTGCCTCTCAAACCTTATTTCTCACAGAAACTTATAAGTGACTATGGTTTAATGTGCCTGGGCTGAATATCAAGAACTTGACTCCTACACTAACCTTGCTATTTGCAGTTTCCATAATGTAAAGTCAAATCACACTATTAGGTAATTTCAGCCTAAGTTAACATTTTAACTGTAAGTACTATTTTATCTAACATAATACACTAATTTCACTCCTATAAGGCAAATGTGCCCAGAACCCAAGGACTGGCTTCAGGTAGTCAGTCAGGTCAAACCCCTAAACATAGATGCAAATGTTTTCATATGTCTGTTTTCCTGAAGAAGAACACGTCTTTGGTGCTCAAATTCTCTAAAAAATTCTTATGCTCCCAAAAAGGTTCAAAATACCTTTGCTGTGAAGAAATCTTGAGATTAGGTACTAACAATGGAAGACAACATCTAATCTAAACTTGGGCAGGGATTTAAAAGAAGCCAAGAAGGCTGGGCGTGGTGACTCACACCTATAATCCCACCACTTTGTAAGGACAAAGTGAGAGAATTGCCTGAGCCCCTAGGTTGGAGATCAGCCTGGGCAACTTGGTGAGATCTCATCTCTAAAATAAATCAAAAATTTAGCCAGGGATGGTGGCGCGTGCCTGTAGTCCCAGCTACTCAGAAGGGTGAGGCAGAAGGATTGTCTGAGCCCAGCAGGATGAGGCTACAGTGTCCATGAGCGTGCCACTGCACTCCAGCCTGGGCAACAGTGATACTGCAACTCAAAAAAAATGAAGAGCCAGGCTCGGTGGCTCAACCTGTAATCCCAGCACTTTGGGAGGCTGAGCAGAGTGGACTGCCTGAGACCGCAGGTTCGAGACCCGCCTGGGCAACTTGGCGAGACCTCATTTCTACAATAAATCAAAAATTAGCCAGGCATGGTAGCGCGCACATGTAGTTCCAGCTACTTGGAAGGCTGAGGTGGAAGGATCGCCGGAACCCAGCAGGTCAAGTCTGCGGTGGCCAGGAGCGGCCTCTGCACTCCAGTCTGGGTGACAGAGTGAGACTCCAACTCAAATAAAGAAATAAAGAAATAAAGAAGTCAAGAAAAACTTCATATCGGGTTCTAACACCTAAATACTTTCCTTGCCAAAGTCACTATTAGCTTGGCTACCAATAACTTAAGAGCAAATATTTACGAACCATAAAAAGAAAAAGAAGGGTAGTTTTTTAATTTTTATTTATTTTTTATTTATTTATTTTTTTTAGTTGGAGTCTCACTCTGTCGCCCAGACTGGAGTGCAGTGGCCGCTCCCTGCCACCGCAGCCTTGACCTGCTGGGCTCCGGCGATCCTTCCGCCTCAGCCTTCCAAGTAGCCGGAATTACAGGCATGCGCTACCATGCCCAGCTGATTTTTTGATTTATTGTAGAGATGAGGTCTCGCCACCCAGGCGGGTCTCGAATCCGCGGGCTCAGGCAATTCACTCACCTCAGTCTCCCAAAGGCGCGGGATTACAGGCTGAGCCACCAAGCCCGGCTATTTTTATTTTTTACTAAGGATAAGACAAGTTTGGGTCTGGGGTAGTCCAAAAATGAAAGGTATCCTCTTACCCCCCTCATTATATCAGACTTTACAGTAAGCTGTTTTCTAATCTAGCTTCTGGTAATAAGTGCTTCCTGACCACTTAATTGCAAGGCACTTTGCAAATTTAATTTTTTCCTATACAATACATATGTTGGAATACAATATTTTTTAAGATGTCAGAAAACAGGTAATTTTTCTTTTAATGTAAAACTACATAAAATAATATGACTTACCTGAGATGAGATCCCTATTTGTGTTAAAATTTTGCAAATCAAAGAAATCATTTTTTACCCCACTACACTTTCACATGTTTCACAGTGGAATAAAGATAATTTCCCTTCCTTTTATTACAGCTAACTAAACCATCATTATCTTTTTGTTTGTTTGTTTGAGTTGGAGTCTCACTCTGTCGCCCAGACTGGAGTGCAGTGGCTGCTCCCGGCCACCGCAACCTCGACCTCCTGGGGTCCAGCGATCCTTCCACCACACCTTCCAAGTAGCTGGAACTACAGGCACACGCTACCATGCCCGGCTAATTTTTTGATTTATTGTAGAGATGAGGTCTCACCAAGTTGCCCAGGCGGGTCTCGAACCTGCGGGCTCAGGCAATCCACTCACTTCAGCCTCCCAAGGCGCGAGATTACAGGCTGAGCCACTGAGACTGGCTCACCATCATTATCTTTATGTTTGAAGTTTCACAGCTGTCTTTTCACAGGCTTCAGTCACCACACCTACCCTCACAGCGACCTTTCATCAACTGTTTGTATCCTCTAAACTTCAGTTTTCACATGTGAGAATGAGCAACCGTATTCTTGTAAGCTTTTTCTTGACAAAGATTTTTTTTTTTTTTTTTGAGTTGGAGTCTCACTCTGTCGCCCAGACTGGAGTGCAGTGGCCGCTCCCAGCCACCACAGCCTCGACCTGCTGGGCTCCGGCGATTCTTCCGCCTCAGCCTTCCAAATAGCCAGAATTATAGGCATGTGCTACCACGCCCGCTGATTTTTTGATTTATTGTAGAGATGAGGTCTCCCTGCCTAGGCGGGTCTCGAACCTGTGGGCTCAGGCAATCCACTCACCTCAGCCTCCCAAAGGCACGGGAATACAGGCTGAGCCATTGAGCCCAGCAACAAAGATTTTTAATCTTATTTTCAAGCCAATAATTTACTAGAGTTTAGGGGGGTCCTTCTCATATTTTTAATTTATACTCAGTGTGAGTGAGGATGATCAGCCAACAACTTTACAGCTGTTTATAATAAGTTGTAGAATTTGATGTGTTTACCTTCATGGAAACCAGTAAGAATGCTAATATTTCAAGTGTATTGTTTTTCTCTTTGTCTTATCTTTATAAGCATACAAATACTCAAGCATTAAATATTTTTAATAGCACAGGGAAACAACTAATTGGGTAATGATGCACAGAAACTATAGGCAACCAAAAGAAAAAAGGGGAAAAAAAGAAAACCAAACTGGTAACTGTAGATGGTGAATGACTGGCAAGGCAGAAAAAGATTTCTAAATAATAATAAAACATCTTCAGTGAGAGGACTGCCTAAGCCCATGGGTTCGAGACCACCCTGGGCAACTTGGCAAGACCTCACCTCTACAATAAATCAAAAAATTACCCAGGCATGGTGGTAAGTGCCTGTAGTTCTAGCTACTTTGAAGGCTGAGGTGGAAGGATTGCCGGAGCCCAGCAGGTCGACGCTGCAGTGACCAGAAGCATGCCACTGCACTCCAGTGTGGGCAAAGGAGTGAGACTCCAACTAAAAAAAAAAATTAGCTTGGCATGGTGGCGTATGCCTATATTTCCAGCTACACAGGAGGCTGAGGAAGGAGAATTCCTTGAGCTAGGAGGTTGAGGCTGTGATGATCCTTCATCATGCTACAGCCTCAGTGACAGTTGAGACC